ATCAAATAGTTCCCTTGGGAATCTCATGGTGCTTATAATAAGGTCATGAAGTCATGACAACTACACGTTGGCTCTCTTCTGGTTATTTTTTTTTTTTTTTAAAGATTTTATTTATTTGTCAGGGAGAGAGAGAGAGAAAGAGTGAGTGAGCACAAGCATGGGGAGCGGCAGGCAGAAGGAGAAGCAGGCTCCCCGCTGAGCAAGAAGCCCAGTGCGAGACTCGATCCCAGGACCCTGGGATCATGACCTGAACTGAAGGCAGATGCTTAACCACTGAGCCATCCAGGCGTCCCTCTTCTGGTGAATAAGTTGGTTGTATTCTTCATAATAATAGATGAACAACAACTGCCCAAACCAGGATCACTCTATCCTTGCCCCAGTCACAGGGATTCAATTTTAGCATAAACTGTGTTCCTCCATTGGTTTTCAGATTAGTGTAGAAACATCAATGCATGAATCTTTAGGCAGACTTCTGAGGTTCAAGATCCAGTTGTGGTACTTACTAGCCATGTGACCTTGGCAAATTATTTAATACCTGAGCTTCAGTCCTCCCATGAAATGAGACTGTTAATAACTAGGGTTGTTGAGCAATAATATGAGGTAATATATGTGAAGTATCCAGTATTTAGTATGCACTCAATTTATATTAACTAATTCTATGCAGAAATGTTCAGGCATATAGATGACTTGGTGGGGCAGGCTTTCTCAAGAGGTCTATTTTTATGAATTAATTAAGGGGGGAAAGGTTTCTGTGGGATCCTGGGGGCAGAGAATGGTGGAGTGGGGAAGGAGTGGATAGTATAGAGCCTTGTTACTCAAAATGTGGCCCATGGACCCTGTTCTAGTTTATTCACTTTATTTGTTTTTTATTTTTTCCCCAAATCTTATAATTAACTTTATTCAAAAGTTTTCAAAAATTTACTCCTGATAAGAGTCCATGCAAAAGTTCAAATCTGCCAGATACTCATACTGGCTATAGGTGAACTCAATCTTACATTTAGTAAGGCAACGCCCAGGGTCAACTGTGAGGGCTTGGCATGCATTCTTGAGTCTTTACCACAGTCCTCTTCACTGTGATTCAACAAATATGCCTGACTTTGTGAAGCTTGCATTCTAGCAGGGAACAGACAATAGGTACACAAGTGAATAAATAATCTAGTTTGTCTTAAACCTCTTTAACAGTGACCATGAGCACTGAGCTTACTCACTTTAAAAACATTTAGTTTTCATTATTAATTTCTGCAGCTGAGACCACAAAATAAAAGTCTAGAACAAAGAGAGTTGCTTTTAAGTAACACACAAAAAAAGAGAGTTGTCTTTTTTTACCGTAGTCCCTTGCCTGGGGGTTGGGAGGAGGCTCTATGCTCATTTCAGCAATGCTGTCATCGATCAGAATACATTGGGATGTAATTTTTTTTTTTTTAAGATTTTATTTATTTATTTATTTGAGAGAGAGAGAATGAGATACAGAGAGCATGAGAGGGAGGAGGGTCAGAGGGAGAAGCAGACTCCCCGCCGAGCAGGGAGCCCGATGCGGGACTCGATCCCGGGACTCCAGGATCATGACCTGAGCCGAAGGCAGTCGCTTAACCAACTGAGCCACCCAGGCGCCCCCATTAGGATGTAATTTTGACAAATGCCCTCAGTATAAGTTTGTGAGTCATTCAAGAAAATTAATCTCACTGGGTCTTATTTTTGAGAACTCTGTATTTCTTAGTTTGACCACCATCATGGTTTTACTATATGTCTATAAATTTGGCATTTCTCCCTTTAAAGGTGAACTCCAGACACCTATCTAACGAATCTAATTTGGCAGAAGTGATTCTGTGTAACTTCTGAAGATAGGTCCTAACAAAGGATAGTTTCTGCCTGGCTTTCTCTGTACCTTAGCTCACTCCTGGGAGAGCCAGACACTTGGTCACAGGGGCAGTCCTAGGGAGAGGCCTGTTCAGGGAGGACCTGCGCCATCACCAACGTGCTCCTCAGTGAATGAGTCCCTTTGGAAATGGACTCTCCAATTCGGTCAAGCCTTTGGATGGCTCAGCCCCTGCTGACATCTTGACCACAACCTCATGAGAGCTCGTGAGTCAGAACTAACCAGGTAAGCCGTTGGCAGATTCCTGGCCACCAGAATTTTGAGAGAATGTTTCTTGATTGTTCCCACCCACCAAAGTTTTTAGTAATTTGTTATGCAGTTGTAGATAACCAAAACAGAATTGATACTTGGAAATAGGGTGTTACCAAAGCAAAGAGCTAAAACATCAGAGTGGCAAATGGAAGCCGGAAGGAACTTACAAAGTGTTTGGGTGAAAGCCTCATGAGCTCTGAAGAGACTGTTAACAGAAGCCTGATGGTCCTCAAGGGGGCTGGCCGGAGGAAGGGAAAGAAAATGAAGAAATGCTATTGGAGGCTGGAGGAAAGGGATGCATGTTCTTTAGTGGCCAAAGGTTTAGCAACACTGTCACTTGTGTTAATGTGAAAAGTAGGGACCATAATTTATGAACTGAGTGATCCAGCTAAGGAGGTTACAGTCTGCGTGTTGAAGGTGCTGCCTGGATTCTCTTTGCTGCTTTTGGCAAAAGGCTATAAAGAGCTATTATAATATTTATAATTTCTTGAAAAATAATTGACATAGATCACAGTGTAAGTTTAAGGAACACAGCATGATGGTTCAATTTTTACATATTGTGGTTACTACAGTGGGCTCAGCTAACATCTGTCTTCTCCTATAGATATGATAAAAAGGAGAGAAGGGAGAAAAGAAAAAATTTCTTCTTGTGATGAAAACTCTTAGGATTTACTCTCTTAAATTTCCTATATATATATACAGCAGTGCTAGTTATAGTCATCGTGTTGTACATAACGTTCCTACTACTTATTTATCTTATAATTCAAAGTTTGCACCTTTTGACCACCTTTCTCCATTTCCCCCTGCCCCTATGCTCCACTGCTGGTAACCACAATTCTGATCTCTTTTTCTGTAAGTTTTGAGATTCCACATAAAAAGACAAAAAGCATTTCTTTTTGTCTGATCTATTTCACTTAGTGAACATCCAAGTTGTTGGAAATGGTAGAATTTCCTCATTTTTTTTTTTGTGGCTGAATAATATTCCATTGTGTATATATACCACAACTTCTTTATCCATTTATCCATCGATGGACACTTAGGTTGTTTCCATGTCTCGGTTACTGTAAATAATGCTCAAGCAACCTGTGGAAGAAGCTTTTGTGTGGAGGAACTGAGGCCTCTCACCGACGTCCAGCACCATTTTGCCAGCCATGCTGGCAAGCCTCCTTGAAAGTGAACCCTCCAGTTTCATTTAAGCTTTGTAGTGACTGAAGCCTTGCCCAATCATAACATCATTGGAGTATAGTTTATATATCAGTTTATATATATATAGTTTATATATCAATTTATATATAAATTGAACCATTTCAGGTGTATAGTTCATTGATTTTTAGTAACTTAGTGATGCAACCATCAACATTTATAAATTTAGGAGCATTCTTATCTCCCCAGTAACATCCCTCCTGATCATTTACAATTAATCCTCCTTCCTCCTTCCAGTTCTGGACAACTATTTTTTTTTTATATAAAAGATTTTATTTATTTATATGACAGAGAGAGACAGCGAGAACAGGAACACAAGCAGGGGGAGTGGGAGAGGGGGAAGCAGGCTTCCCGCTGAGCAGGGAGCCCAATGTGGGGCTCGATCCCAGGACCCTGGGATCATGACCTGAGCCAAAGGCAGATGCTTAACGACTGAGCCACCCAGGCGCCCTCTGGACAACTATTAATCTACTTCCTGCCTCCATTAATTTGCCTTTTCTGGACATTTCATAGAAATGGACTCTTAATATGTGGTACCTTGTGTCTGGTTTTTCATTTAGCATGTTTTTGAAATTCATCCATGTTGTAGCGTGAATTCATAGTTTGTTCCTTTTCTTTGCTGAATAACATTCTGTTATATGGATGCATCAAATTTTGTTTTATTAGTTGGTGGATGTTTGGGTCATTTCCAGTTTGGGGCTGTTACGAATACAGCTGCTATGAATATTCACATGCAAGTCTTTGTGCATACATATGTTTTCAGTTCTCTTGGTTATACACTTAGCTGTGGAATTAAGTATGATTATTCTGTGTTTATCTTTTTGAAGAACTGCCAAACTTTTCCACAACTGCTGTACCATTTCACATTGCCACCAGCAAGATGTGTGTTCCTGTTCCTCCACATATTTTAGTGGGTGTGAAATGGCATCCTATCATGGCTTTAGTTTGCATTTCTCTAATGACTGATGTTGAGCATCTTTTCCTGTGCTTATTGGCCATTTGTGTATCTTCTTTTGTGAAATGTCTGTTTGTATCTTTTTTTTTTTTTAAGATTTTATTTATTTATTTGAGAGAGAGAGAAAGTGTGTGTGTGCGTGCACAAGTGGGCGGTGGGGAGGGGAAGAGGGAGAGGGAGAAGCAGACTCCCTGCTGAGCAGGGAGCCTGACCGACATGGGGCTCCATCCCAGGATCCCAAGATCATGACCTGAGCCCAAGACAGACGCTTTACTGACTGAGCCGCCCAGGTGCCCCCACAGAAGGAAAATTGATCAACTGGTTAATTTTGTCTTCCCTGTACCTTAACCATACAGTCTTTACCCACCTCTATGTGATACATATTCTTCTGAATGTTTAATGACAAGTGTAGTTTCTTTCATCAACAGCTAATTTCATTTGTGTTCAGAAAGCATTCAGTTCTCCACGCTATAGGAAAGCCGAAAGGCAGCTCAGGTACCTGCTAAGCCAGCATTCAGGGTGACTTGCCCAAGCGTTTTGAGGCTGTTGCCCTTCACCTAAACAGCTTGGCCCAGCTACAGTATTCAAGCTGCCAAGAAAATAAGCCAGGACTCTTCGGTACTTTATGTGCTGGAGTCACATTTACAAATCTGGTTTGAAATGGGCTCTTGACAAAGGTAGCTCCTCCCTGGGCTCCCACTCTTCTGGCTCGGTTCAGTGCAAGAGGGCCACCAGCAGCTTCTGGAAGTCCCCAGAGGTGTCTGAGCAAACCATGTCAGAGAGAGACTTCTGATACTTCTCTTGGAACTTTGCTTTTATCCCTTGAAGGTCCACCTTAGGTCATGAGGATGTGAATGAGTGTCTCCTCATCGGTGCCTGCACCCTTCATGGGCTTGTACAGACGGTCAGCGAAATAGCCCTCCTGGTCCTGGGAGCACCTCACGAGAGTTAAGTAGGCCTTCTGCAGATCTCCTGATGTTTCTGCTTCAGTGGCCTCTTCAGTGGCTTTGTCGATGAGAATTTGGTAGGCTTGAAAGGTGGCACGTAATTGCTTGTGGCTTCTCTTGGCCAGGACTTCATTGAAGGCGAGCTTGTACGTGCCCCTGCGGCCTTCCCCTGCATCATACAGATCTTTGGCATCCTGACCAGCTAGATCTTTGTCCACGTCATCTCCTTCGTCACGATTAGCCTGTAGCAGGGACATCAGGATTTTTTTTAGGTTTCCACTGGTATCAGCTTTGACATCTGATTCAAGGCTCCTGTCAGATAACCTTTGGTAGGCTTCCTTAATGGCTATGATCTCCTTCTTGGTTCTTGTGCACAGGACCTCGATGAGCACTGCCTCATCTGTGCCCAGAACTTTCATGGCCTTCTGCAGCTGCCGGGCATCGTACTCGCTGGGGTGGTCCAGGAGGGCCAAGGCTGTCTTCTCAAAGTTCCCACTCAGTTCACTCTTGAGCACCTCCTCCAGGTCCTTGCCATACATTGCCTTGTACTTTTGCTTGATTTGTTGCCTCTCATCCAATGTCCTGCTTGATAACATCTCAACGATGGCTGCTTCATCAGCTCCCATTCCTTTGCAGGCTTTGTTCAGCTTTTTGGCATCCCGATCCACATCAAAACCCTGATGACTTCTTGCTTTGGCATGACGATTGCCCATTTTCGTTTTTCTAAGACAGTTGTTCTGTATTTCATTCTGTTCATATCTTTTGATTAATTTTATTATTGGGTTGTTTGTCTTACTGAGTTCTAAGGGTTCTTTTTAAATTCTTAATGCTCTTTTTAAATTCTTAAGTCCTTTATCAGATGAGTACTTTGCAAGTATTTTCCCTCAGGCTTTTCATTTTCATTGCCTTTCAAAGGACCAAAGTTTGGACCATTTTGATGAAGTATAATTTATCCTTCTCCCCTGTTTGAGAATCGTACTTTAAGTGTCACATCTATAAAAATCTTTGCTTAACTTGAGGTCTTGAGGATTTTCTCCTACATTTTCCCCTAAATGTTTTGTTGTTTAGCTCTTAAGTTCAAGTGTATGATCTATTTTGAGTTAATGTTTGTGTATTGTGTGGGGTGAGGGTCTGAGTTCAATTTTCTTAACATCATTTCGTGAATAAACCTGCCTTTTCCTCAGTGAATTGCCCTGCACCTTTGTTGAGGATCAATTGACTATAAATCTCAGTACTTATTTCTGGCATGGTACCACACTGATCCTGATAACTGTAGCTTTATAGTATGCTTTGAAATTGGGACATGAAGTTCCTACAACCTTGCTTTTTTTTTTTTTTTTTTTCAAATTGTTTTGTCTAGTCTAGATGTTTTGCATTTTCACATAAATTTTAGGATCTGTCAAGCTGCTCAGTATTTTGACAGCAGTCTCCTGGGAGACTCTGAGCCAGAACTACCCAGCCAATGACCCATCCCTGACCCACAGGGATGATAATGATAAATATTTGTTCTTAAGTCACAAACTTTTGGGTAGTTTCCTTCAGAGCAATAGATAACTAATAAACTAATAAAACCACCCAGTTTTATTTAGCATGCCTACGCATGATATATGGCATCCCTAAACATCCTGTTTTTCTCAGAACTGAAGATTTGTTGCTATTGAGGAAAATGAAAGATATGCCAGGTGGCAAAAGTAAGAGAACTAGGGATGGGAGGGAAGGGTAAGGCATGGAGTAGAGAGAGGTCTGGAGCAGCAGTGAGCAAATTGTGGCCTGAGGGCCAAACAGCCCAGAACCAGTTTAAGAATGCCTTTTATATTTTTATGTTAAAAAAAAGAAAGAAAGAGATGACTGTGTGATAAAGAATTTATGTGACCTTTTATGGAAAGGTTTGCTGACCCCTGGTTTAGAACACTGGAGATGGATCTGGAATGAAGATAAAGGTTTTGGTTGTTGTTGTTGTTGATGTTTTTTTTTTTTTTTTTTTAAGATTTTATTTATTTATTTGAGAGAGAGAGAGAGAGAGAGAGAGCATGAGAGGGGGGAGGGTCAGAGGGAGAAGCAGACTCCCTGCCGAGCAGGGAGCCCGATGCGGGACTCGATCCTGTGACTCCAGGATCATGACCTGAGCCGAAGGCAGTCGCCCAACCAACTGAGCCACCCAGGCGCCCTTGATGTTGTTTTTGTGAAGTACAATTAATATACTGTGTTATATTAATTTCCGGTACAATATAATGGTATCACCATACATCTGTCAGAATGGCAGGAATCAAAAAGTCAAGAAATAACAAATGTTGGCAAGGATGTGGAGAAAAAAGAGCCCTTGTGCCCTGTTGGTGGGAATGCAATGTGTGGTACAGCCACTGCAGAAAACAGTATGGAGGTTCCTCAAAAAATTAAAAATAGAAATAGCATGTGATACAGTAATTCCACTACTGGGTATTTACCCAAGGAAAACAAAAACACTAAACTGAAAAGATATATGTAACCTATGTTTATTGAAGCATTATTTACAACAGCCAAGATATGGATCAACCCAAGTGTCCATCAGTAGATGAATGGATAAAGAAGATCTGGTATACATATACAGTATGGAATATTCTCAGCCATAAAAAAGAATGAGATTTTGCATTTGCTACAACATGGATGGACATAGAGGGTATATTGCTGCTCAGAGAAAGACAGATACCACATGATTTCACTCATGTGGAAAACGAGAAACAAAACAAATGAATAAACAAAAGAAACAAACAAACAAAAAACCCAGTCTCTTAAAAACAGAGAACAAATTGAAGATAAAGGTTTTGGAGTCATGAGCATCTAGGTAATATTTGAAGTTATGGGAAGAGATGGTTTGATATTGGGATCTAGGGCTTGATTCCCAGATATGTTATCACTGGGGAAGAGATAAGTCTTAGGCTTCCCCAGGCAAAGTACCAGAGATACAAGTGCTCATTTGGGTCTGTCCCTACCCAGCCCAGAGACAAGGGGGACTCATTACTGCCTATACTCCCTCCCCGTAGGCTGAGAGTCCTGCCACCACCTGGTCCCCTCCAGGCCTTGGCTCTCAGATGCAGGAGTGGGACTTGGGCCCTCATGGGTCAAGTTCCTCAAGGTGTAGAGGCCTGTAGCTAACGAACCTGTGCCTAAGTAAAGACTTGTAGGTGATGTACCTTCCCAGCCGGCTATCAGCTCTGCCTCCGTTCCCCTTTCTAAGAAATAGGTATTAGGCATGCATCCTCTGAGGAGATTGGGAATGAGGTCCTGTCATTATTATTATTATTTTTAGATTTTATTTATTTATTTGAGAGAGAGAGAGAGAGAGCGCGTGCACACGCACGAACATGAACCGGGAGAGGGGCAGAGGGAGAAGGAGAGGGAGAATCTCAAGCAGACTGCCTGCTGAGTGCAGTCTGATGCAGGCTCGATCCCAGGACCCTTAGATCATGACCTGAGCAGAAACTAAGAGTCTGACACTCAACCAACTGAGCCACCTAGGTGTCCCAGAGGTCCTGTCATTCTTAAACATATTTGTATTTACCACTCCAGAGCCCAAGAGCAAGAGAGGACACACAATTGGTTCTCTACCCACTCAAGTGGCTACCTGTTCTGCACCAGAATTACTCTAATAATTGAAAGAACCTAAATTGCCCCTGCCAGTGTCTGTGGAAGTAACTATGTAAGTCCTCCAGATCTGAAGAGCAAATGTGTTCCATTCTGTGAGATGCTTCATTCTATGGACTCAATTGCTATCCATCCTTCAAAGCACCATGCACTCAGCACTCTGAGTATGCACAGACCTCTCTGCTTTATGGTTTGCAAATCCCTGCAGCTGTAAAACAAATCAGTGTTTTCTCTTTCTGCTCTCAGTTAAATGGAGATCAGCTCTTCAATCTATGTTTAATTATGAGGGGAAGGGATGGAGTTCCACTTTGTTTAGCAAAAATAACAAATGGCAATGATACCAACTTCATTCATTGCTTGTGTTCCCAGGGAAATGGAGGGCAGGATTGTAGACCTTTTTGCAGATTTCCCTGCTATGGTGGAAAAAACTCCAGATTTGGGATACAAAGAACTGGATAAAAGTCCTAGCTTTGAGTGACCTTGAATAGTCATTTAACCTGATTGAGCCCCAGGTTACTTATATAATTTTTTTTTTTTAAGATTTTATTTATTTATCTGAGAGAGACAATGAGATAGAGCATGAGAGGGGGGAGGGTCAGAGGGAGAAGCAGACTCCCCGCCGAGCAGGGAGCCTGATGCGGGACTCGATCCAGGGACTCCAGGATCATGACCTGAGCTGAAGGCAGTCGCTTAACCAAGTGAGCCACCCAGGCGCCCGAGCCCCAGGTTACTTAATTGTTATCATGGGCAATCACGTTGAGGATTACATATGGTGGAATTTCAAAAGGCATTTGTACCCTGTAAATTTCTACACCTAAGGAAAGGGATGTTTTTATTTTATTTTCAAAGGTGGAGAAATAGTTCAAATCTTTGTCCATTGACAATGTAGAGTTTCTGTTTATCATAATTCATATCACAGATTACATAAAGGAACAGAGAGTTCCAAGTTGAGGTTACTGTGTTTCTCAAGAGAATCCAGTTACATCTAGTTAACAAACTCTTTTCATAAACAGATGTCTCTCTGGAACTGATGATAGATGGGGGTGAACTTGCTATGCTATTCCCACTTAAAATGAAAGAACTTTATGACTCTTGGCTAAAGCAGAGGAGGATCAGCCCCAAAGAAATACTATAGTGTTCAGGGTCTTCTTCCCACATAACTCTTTTTCCTCTGAAATTGGTTTGCCCTTTTTATTGGTTGTTTTTATTTTTGAAGAATTAGCCCCTTGGGAAGAAAACTCAATCTATACCAATGTTTTCAACAGAATAAATTTCAACCACCCTAGGTCAAATGCAGTCGGAAAGTGGGTTTGACCTTGCTCATGAAACAAACATATTTGTTCCTTCATTTCATCATTCCCCTTGAGAAACTTACAGCCTCATTGAAAATCTTTTAAATTGGTAGGACCCAGGGGCGCCTGGGTGGCTCAGTCGGTTGAGCGACTGCCTTCGGCTCAGGTCGTGATCCTGGAGTCCCGGGATCGAGTCCCGCATCGGGCTCCCTGCTCGGCGGGGAGTCTGCTTCTCCCTCTGACCCTCCTCCCTCTCATGCTCTCTGTCTCTCATTCTCTCTCTCACAAAATCTTAAAAAAAAAAAAAAAAAAATTTAAATTGGCAGGACCCAATACCTACTGAATTTCTTTCATGGGCACAAGGGGTAGGTAGGCCACCTCTGGTCTTGGCTGGGATTCCAGGAAGCAGGTCTGGAGTAAGGAGAGGTAGGAAGATCTGGCATGGACTCTCATGGTCCCTGCCATTTTTATCTGCAAACCTGAGCTTCCTTTTTTCACCTCATCCTGTTTGGACTGGTGTCTAAATTTAAGGTGATCTATTTGTTTCTGACTTGAGTCTCTCTTTGCACAGTGCATCTGAGAACTGCCTTTTTAGGGTCCTTATGCCACACCCATGGGCAAGAGATACTATTCCCCTTTCCTGGCCCATGTTTGTGAGTACTTTCAAAGCCACTTACTGGTATTTATTATTTATTTATTAAAGATTTTATTTATTTATTTACTTGAGAGAGAGAGAGAGAGAGAGAAACAGCATGAGAGGGGATAGGGTCAGAGGGAGAAGCAGGCTCCCCGCTGAGCCG